AGAGAACAAGCCTATCCATTTTGAAAGAAATCAACCCTGAGTGCTCACTGGAAGGACAGATCTTGAAGCTGAGGCTCCAATACTTTGGCCATCTCATGAGAAGACTCCCTGGAAAAGCCCCCGATGTTGGGAAAGTGTGAAGTGTAAAAATTGATAATCAAAGTTTGTGAAAAGTTTGTGAGAAAGAGTCTGACCAACTCATTCAGCTGTGCTAGTAACAAGCTGAGCAGTTTGGCTTAACCCAGCAGTGGAAACAAAATGCTGGAGAAGAAGCCTAGAGAAGCTAAACACTGATTGACCACTAGGGGCAATAAAGTTAGCCTCAGAGCACTCTTTGTTCGGATCCAACGAGAGGAGACGGAAGGAGCTACTCTGCAGGACTGATTTACGATGCTGGATATTGCTATGGACTCTGGATATGTGGTATGGTAAATGGACTGAATTTGAATGCTTTATCATGTATGACCAATGGACTGCAGTAAAATAACTCTGTATGTATGACTACTGCTACAGTACAATTTTTCTTTACCTTAATGGACTCTCTCTCATTTCATTGCTTGTCTGCATACTGGTACCTGAATTGGATACACCTCTGCTAGGGCAAAGGAAAAGGCACTGCCTTATCTGTAAAGACCGCACCTCTGCTAGGGCAATGGAAAAGGCACTGCCTTATCTGTAAAGACCCTAGCATTAAACGAGTTCTCTTTATTCAGGTATTTGCAGAATTGGGAGTAGTAATCGTTGAAAAAGATTTTAACTAGGTATAAGAACCATCCTTTATTATATATTTTGTGAAACAGATACAATAAAAGAAAATTGAATCATGTTTCAGTTGTGTAACAATTTGCTAATTTAGTTGCTCCTTGCCTCTGATGTGTTGACCCAGAAACTGTAATTTGTATTCCTTTGTGTATAGAATAATATAACAGAATATGTGTGTGGAAAGAGACAAGGGAGCTTACATTGTAAATATAGATTATGATTTTAGCACATGTAACCTTATTGCTTTTTTGTTTTTCAAGGAATTACACCTTAAGGTTCATGCCTATACCTGTAAATGATGCTTCTCAAGCACTTAAAACTAGCCCTGAGAAAACTGAAGAGGCACTTCAGAAGGTATCACCTACAATTATTCAAGCAGGCTGGAGAAGGGAGGAAGGGGAGAAATGAAGTACTGTAATATGTTGAAATAAATACAGCATCATTTCATAGTTGACTGAATAGAATTCTCTAGAGCAGAGGTCCCCAACCCCCAGTCTGCCACCCGGCAGTGGTCCACAGCCTAGGCAGTATAGAGCCATGGACACAGATCTCCTCCCCCCTGAGCATGCCTCGTGCATGTGCGCAAGCTCGCTCCGCCCCTGCGAGCATACCGTGTGCATGCGTGACATCACCCTTGAGTGCGACACGCCATCTGCGCACATGCGTGCAAGCTCCTCACATCCCCTGTGAGCGCAGCACGCCCCCTGTGAGCGCGACACCCCCCTGCGAGTGTGATGTGTCCCCACGCACAAGCACAACATGCCCCCCCAACCAGTCCGTGGTTGGGAAAAGGTTGGGGACCCATTAATCATCACCCTCTGAGCACGATTCTGTAGCCAATTGTGTATCCACCTGACACTTCATCTATCAACCCACACCTTGGCTGGCAAAGCTCTTTTGCTTTTACTCTTTTGGGGCCTATCTCATCATGTTTAGCTGCAAATATATAATTTTTTTCTCTGAGCAAATTTCTGTGCTCAAGAGGTCAAACATTGGCAGAAACCCTTTAAGTCTGTGTTTGAATATATATGTTGTATTGTCCAAAATCTTGTTGCTTAGCACAGTAAGTCACAGCTAGATTAGGCTGAATGAATCAATGGAGATTTCGGGAATCAGCACCTCTGCAAGTTCCATTGATTCAAACAGGCCTACTCTGATGGCAGCTTTCTTTAACATAGGAATTTGCAGTTAAAATAGGCTTACCTGAATTAATGGAGTTTATGGAGGAGTTGACTCACCAAGTATTTACTGTTTCAGCAGGCTTACTCTAGTTGTGACTTACTAAGCTAAGCAACATGATTTCAGCCATTGTTTACTAATAGTTCTATAAACTGCCTTAATTCTCAAGTTGGGAAAAAGCAATATCAAATTGAGATATAAATTAAATTTATTAATAAATAAATAAATAGACCTGATTTTCATGCATGAGCAGTGTACTTTGTTTTTATATATGATGTCAGGGTGTATGATTGTAACAATTCTGTGAAGTTACATTTCTTGTTATTGTTTTTTTAAAGCAGTATATGTGTCGCTTTGCATGTGCGCTCAGGTACACAGATTCACAACTAACGCTGAGTTCTTTCTTTAGATAGAAAACTATTTACTTCGTAATCATGAGACCCGAAAGTACCTACAGGAACAAGCATACAGACTGCAGCAAGGCATAGTAACTAGCACAACACAGCAGGTAAATAAGGCAGTTTTCTTTGAACGGAATTCAGAGGCACAACTTCCATTTAAAGCAGAGCCTTGAATCCTATGGAAGCTTAAAATAATAGAAGTGAAAAGCAGGTGACTCACAGATTTTTCAGTGCAGCATTCTGGGCCATTTTGTGTGTGTGTATGTGTGCTATTCAGAAGAGATTCCAGCTGTATGAAACAGGTTTAGACATGTGAATGCTACTACTAATTGTAACAGCTGAAATCTGAGAGCAGCCCATTCTGTGAGTACCCAGCTCATTGTGTTGCATATTCCTGATCACCACCAATTTGTGCCTTTCCTAACACCGTTCTAAGTTTGAAGCCATACTGTTCCTATATGAATAGTAGTTGAACTCAGTCTCAGCCAATTCATAGAATCACAGCCTGAAATCGTGATGCTTATTGTAATAAGTTGCAGTAGAGTAGACCCATTAAATCAGTGGAGATTCAGTCAGTTAATTCCTTCATAGGTTCCATTGGTTCAAATGGTTCTACTCTAGTTGCAACTGACTTTAGCATACTACGTCACAACTAGAGTTACACTCATTTTAATCTGTGAAATTTATGGAGTTGATTCACCACATATCTCTGATTAAGTGGGCCTACTCTAATGTGACTTATCGCAGTAAGCAACAGAATTTCAGCTGTAGAATTGTAGAACTGAAAGGAACTCTGGGGTCAGAGTTTAGGCCCCTTTCAATGCAGGAATCCCACAATTAAGTTTCTTTATAAATATATAGATATATATTTCCATCATATTGGGATTTTTATAGAGCTCTTGCACTTTTAACCACATTTAATTTATAGTTCAGCATGTAGAGTAGTTCATTGTAGCTTTTACATACAACATTCTGTTCATATAGCACTTCCGGTGCAAAATCATTAGCCCAGCATCTATATGGAAGTAAGCCATTTAAACAAAGTGTATGAATACTGAAGTTTAGAGAATCCAGTCTCATTTTCTTAGTTCTGTCTAAAAGTGTAAAAAGTCCAGTTCTCTGTCTGGAAACCGATCCATGATCTGTGCCTTGTGTGGTCTGGTCCTTAACTTTTTCTACTGAATCAAATATTTTTGTTAGGAATGCGACTTCCACTTATTGCACACTGATTAACAATATTAAGACAAATCACGGTAATAGTTCCACAGTGATCATATGTCCCTAAATGACTGACATGTTTCATTTTATAATTTAAATATATTGTGTCTTAATTTTTGATACTATCTAATATTCAGTTTCTTCCTCACTTTTTAAAAGATGATTGACAGAATATGTGTCAAAATACAAGACCATCTGAACTCACTAAGAAACTGTGGCATTGACACTATACAAGAAGATCTGAAATCAGCAGAAAGGCTTATGAAAGATGCTAAGAACTCTAAAACAGTAAGTGACACTACTGTTGATTTGAAAACTTTATTTTTTTAAATAAGTGTAACAAACATTACTGTTTTAGTTATTTTTATTTGCTTCATACCAGATCATAAGTACTGGTGCTGGCTACCTTGCTAACATCTTGCAATCTTTTTTACAGTTATTACCAAATCTGTATCATCTTGGTGGAGCTTCTTGGGCAGGAGCAAATGGCTCTTTATCCAATCCAATTCAGGAGACTCTGGACTCAATGGCTGGGGAAGTCACCAGGGTTGTCGATGATCAGCTTAAGGTATTAAATGAATAAAGCAGTTGTGTCAGAAAAAGGACCATGGGAGGAGGTGGCCTGGGGAATCATCGTAGATGCTGGAGAATCACCGTCCAGTTTTTGCAGAGATCTTTGCCATTGTCACCATTATCCATTTGCCGAGACTTTCCTTTTCAGACTAGATCTTGTCACTGTATAGAAGTATAGGCAAATGGAAGTTGTTTCTCCTTCTTCAAGTTCACACACTTGGAGAGGACAAGTGAATGGACCACAGCAGTGAGGAAGGGAAGCAGAGTTATGGAGCTGTGAGGGCATGCAGTAAGTGGCCGTTGGAATATGAAACTCACCTGATGTCCAGCAGTGTTGCTCTGACATGATTGAGATTGAAAAAAAAAGAGCAGATAATTTGTCAGCCTTCTTCAAAACTATCCAACAGTCATAGTCAGGCTTGGCTTTTATCAAGCAAAGAAAAAAAAATCTACTGTGACATATTAAAGGGAAAGCATCCAACCTGGTAGTGTCTTCTCTTACAGTAACCAGCCTTTGGACCTACCATTAAAAGAGGCTGAACACCTTCAGGCATACATCAGATACTCTGCTATCTTGTCAGACCAGCATAATTGCCATGTTCACCATAAGGATTCAAGAAGTGTGCATCTTCATGCACGCCCCAAGTTGCCTGGTTCCTTTAGGCAGCATGGGACAGATTGCATTTTGCAAGGTTAGTTAGTAGTAAAGGGAATTATTATTTATCCCATCATGAGCAGAGCAGTGCCTAAAATCCACTGGAGGATTTTCACCATAAAGAATATCACTGTGAAAAGATGAGCATAATGCATAAATATGTTAGCTTCTTCCTTACTGCTTCCAGGGATGTTCTCTGTGTTAATCTATATGGAGCACTTGGCTCTGAAACTGCTAGGTTTCTGCTCATTTGAGACAAGTCAGTGTTATTAAAATTCTTGAATGCCTTTAACAAACCCAAAAGTTCCAATATTATGGAACATATAGGGATGCGGCTGCATCCTACAGTTCTATTTTATGATTGTTTTCATTAGCGGAAACCAGGATATTTAATCCTGGCTTGTTCCAGAGTTGGTAACTGCAGGTTTTTGTAAGAACCAGGAAACTGCTTAATTATAGTAAAACCAGCAACAAATCTTCTTGCACTTTAAAGACTAGCAAATTTTATTTAGCATAAGCGTGTGCAGACTCCAGCTGATTTCTTCAGATGGTTATGAAGAACTGGAGTACAGTCTATGAAAGTTTGTGCCAATGGGTTTGCTGTAATAGATAACTCACTTACACAATTACCCCTCTGGAAACATGTTTAAACCAGGCTTCCTGCTTTTTTGTGCCATAAAGTGTCCCCCAGCAGACAGTTGATGCTATGAATTTACAGAATCCCTTTGCCCCTAGAACTCAACCTTGGAGAGGTCAGGCATATTTATTTTAAGTGCCATGTACACATAGTGGCATTGCTGTAAAAATGTGTGCTTGGTAACACTTCTAAGCAGAAAGAAATTGGAGAAAGAATGGGCTTAATTTTGAAAACACATTCTCTCCAGTTTCAACATACAATCAAGTTTCATATTCTGCAGACTGGAACTGGAATTGAGCTATATCCATTGTTTGAGCAGGCTTTGAGGCCATCACCACTTGCCATAGAGAATTATATTATAGACTATTCTCATGCTGTTGTAAGCCCTAGTATGAAGGAGCTGAATTAGCATTTATATCTCTACTGGGCATCCATTGAATCAACAGAACTTACAGAGGAATCAACTAAACAAATTCCCACTGATTCAGTGGATCTCTTTTAGTTGCAACTTACTGCTGGATTTCAGCCGTAGATTCGCAGATCTTTGTAGTATGCTAATTGAAATCATGACAGATTCCAAGTGTGGTGTAATGGATGGAGTGACAGTCTAGAGTTTGGATTCCTGCTCAGCCATGGAAACTGACTGGAGGAAGTGGAACTGGTAAAACTGTTCCTTAAATTTCTCACTTATGTTGAAAGCCCTATTAGAGTTGCTGTAAGTTGGTTCCAACTTGATGACATAGCATGCACACACACAATTGCAGTCGTAAGGATAAAATTCCTACATACAGTGATAATGCCATTTTTTCTGGTTTATTTTAAGAATTTGCTTTCCCTCCTTTTGTTCAACAGACACTGCTTGAGTCTATGGTGGATGCTGCAGAAAACCTCTGTCCAAGTGCAATGAAGAAAACAAACATAAGGCAAGACTTGATTGAGGCATGCACTGAAAAGATTTCCATTCCACGGACGTTTGTAAAAAATGTTCTCTTAGAGCAGTCTGGTGTTGATATCCTTAATAAAATCAGGTGAGTCAGTTGAATTTCTTAGTTCACCTTATAGATTCGCAAATTTAAACTGCTCATTGTTAAAAACAGACAGCATGGAGCTGTTGAGTAGGAGTACTGGTTGTTTTAGAGATAATGTCTATCAGTTTCTACAGAAAATACAAATGATTGAGGGAACTTTCTTTCTCTCCCCTCTGCCAGTATTCCTCAGTACTGCTCCTAACTAGAAAGTTGGTGGGCCTTCTGGGGTTTTTTTGTGGCACACAAGATGTTGCGATGAAGAGGAGAGATCCCCTCTCTATTCTGCTGGTATAAGAGGTTGTTTTATTGGGTGTACCTGGGCCCAGTAAAACAACCTGTATGGTCCTGGGCCAAGTGTTTGATTTTTGGCTGTTCTTAGTGCACATACTGTTTTCCAATATATGATGAATATACAACATGCATACAAACTGATGTTCAATATTAATGTTAACTGTTGATTCCAGTGATCAGTTTAAACTTGGTTTATTAGCTTGACCTCTTGTAATTTGTTGCTCAATAGTTTTAGAAAAAATATATGAACACAATGGTGAAAACAGATTGGGAAGAAATGCTTTCTATAAAATATGAATAGAACGTAAACATAAGAAAATAAGTATTGATTTATACTGTCTGTATATATAGTTTAATTAGATTGTTTAGCCTTCATTTTAGATCTTTTTTGTTGAATACAAAAGCAAAAACTATGAAAATTACAAGTTTAAATTTATGTGTTCTAGTTTGTAGCCTAATCTTACTAAATCCTGTGGAACAATGACTTTTAAAATGCCATCTAATCTGCATAATAACCCCTTAGTTTCAAAGGGGCTAGAACATTTCAGTACCATTCAGTTTAGGAAACTATAGCCACCGTTATGTTGAGGCTTTACTTTAGGAATAATAAAATCACATAAATTACAGCAGTGAATTGAAGCCAATTAATAAAGTGGTACTCATGTGCCTGGCATGGAACTTGGTGCATGACCAGCATCTTGTAGTTTGGTACAATATCTTAGATGATTTAACTTATTCCTGTAAGTTTTCGACCTGTGCTTTTAAATTGGCACGGGCAGTTTTCCACTGCCTATCACTCCTATCAGCCCTTAGCCAACATAAGCAGCAGTAAGGGAATATAAGAGCTGCAGTCCAAAAACATGTGGATGGCAAATATTTTCCACGTCTATACATATTATAAATTCGGTGCTGGGTTATCTAAGTATGGGGCTGGCTGGATAGCCTTTGATAGCTGGTTGGGAGTCTGATACCCCATTGAGCTTCCTAGGACAAGCAGCAGCCTGTGTAACCTTGGGCAAGTTACACAGTCCCAGGGCACCCCCAGAAGAAGAGAATGGCGAACTACTTATGAGTGCTGTCTACCTAGAACATTTATATATTTTGATTGCATTTTAATTGTTTTGTTTTTTTATTGTATTTTAAATGTTGTAAGCCACCCAGAGACCTTTGGGTAGTATGGGAGGCATATAAGTTAAATAAAATAAAATAAAAACTTTGGGAAGGGTTTCCATAGGCCAGAATCTACTGATGGCACATAATTATTAATTATTTATCTTCGTATCTTTGGCTCATCAGGTTAGTACAATGGTACTAACCTGATGAGCCAGAGATATGAAGATACTGTAAATAATAATACTTGTCTATCCTGCTGTCTGAAAACAATTTGATGTAAGTGGTGAAACCAGGAATAAAATGATGTGGCAAGCAAATGGCACATCTGCAATATAACTAGGATTATATTATGTAATTGTCCCAACTCCTTGACTTAAGTCACCTGCCAGTAGTGGTTTACTTAATATGCTCTCACTGCAAAAGTGTGCCTCTTGAATTTCAAGAGGGAGTTGGCAAACCATTTAAGACCACTTGTCACAATGCTGTAGGTGCAAATACAACATCTTAAGTCAAGTTGCACATTATATTACAAAAATTTAGTCTCTTCAGCCACTTAATATTGATAGTACAAAAGCAACAAAGGCTATGAAAAAAAGGTTGGAGGAAACATATTTGAGATGCAAGTTTTTCTGAAACATGTCTTTTCAGTCCAGAAGTATTTCTTACAACACATTGGAATGCATTGTTGCATACTGTATATTTTTAGCTTTGATTGATATTACATTCATCATTGCAAATCAGGAGTAGGCGCCCTTCAGATGCTTCTGGACTTGCATAATCACTCAGCATTGGCTAGGTTGGCTAGTGCTGATGGGATGTATAGACCAACACCACCTGAAGGATCAAAGTTGCTCAGCCTCATCTTGGTAGCTTTATTTCTGATGTTAAAAATAATTTGATGCATTTGATTTTGTGTTATAGATTAAGATAAATAATTACTTTTCAAATGTCTTCCATGCTTACATGTATGTTCCTGCATCTCTCTTTGAAGACATTTGCATATCTAGGTAACTCTTCCATACTGCAACCAATTTTGTATGGCAAAGCAAGAATTTCTTGCATGATCTTAGACTTCATATTCTTATGTCAACTTCCCCACAGTGAAGTGAAGTTGACAGTTGCCTCACTGCTCTCGGACCGAATAGTCGATGAGATCCTTGATGCCCTGTCACGTTGCCATCATAAGCTGGTGGGTATCTGCATAGGCCTGAACATTTCCAAATACTATGATTAGAGATGGGATATTCATATATGAATGTGACTATCTTGGTCCCGGGTGGCCAAGGAAGCCAAGTCCACTCTCCCCAAACTGATCCATTCACTTATGGGTCACCGTGCCAGGGTGGGAGGATGAGTCTCTCCACTCAGCCGCTGAGTGGCCAGCAGGGGGGAGAAGAGCCAGCTAGGCTACATCCAGGATTGGCGTGGCAAACAGGATGCCAGCTGCATGTGCCTCGCAGCCACCCATATGTGGTTGAATATTCAAATATGAATATCCCATCTCTAATTATGATAGCTGAGCATGATTTACTTCTTATGTTTTGCTCCTTTGCACTGTGACTTTGAAATATATGCCATCTTTCAGAGGTGGCTTGCAAGCCACAGTAGACTTGTGCAACCTGTATAATAACCAGGTTACTTTTTTTGAACTGCAGCTCCCAGAAACCCACAACCAATGGCCATGCTGGTTGTGGGAATAGTGCAGTTGTCATTTAAAAAGTGATGTTTCTCATCTCTGATAATAGTCAGAATATCTACATTGCATTGTTTGCATTGGTTGTGGTACTGAACCTTTGTCAATCTTAACATCTTTAGAAGAAGAAGCTCTTCTCTGTTTCCTCCACCACTGGGGTGATTCCGCTGGAATATGAGAAGGGTCATTCTATGATTTCCTCCAAGCTCTGTACCTTTCTACCGAGGAAGGCCAGGGTAGCTCTCTTTGTTGCCATTCTGCTGGCAGGCAAGAATATTTTTATTTAGGCAACCTTTATGTTTTTGTCTTGAAGAAGGTTCTAAGAGGTGGAAACTTGCGGACTCCAAGATGTTAGACTGCAAGCTGTGATGGTTACAGGCTATTAACCATTTTGGCCGGGACTGACAACGATTGGTGTTCTGGAGGGCTACATTTGAGAAGGATCTTAAAAGTAAAATTATAATCTTGAGTGTGGTATGCCTACAAAACAACCAAACTCAGTTTTAGACTGTTACAATAAAACCATACTTTCTAAATCACCACAAGTAATAATTCCACTTTATTGTGAACTCATTATGTATCATCTAGAGCAGTGGTTCTTAACCTGGGGTTCCTCAGGTGTTTTTGAACTGCAACTCCCAAAAACCCCAGCCAGCACAGCTGGTGATGAAGGCTTCTGGGAGTTGCAGTGAGAAAACACCTGAGTAACCCAAGGTTAAGAACCACTGATCTAGAGCAGAGGTCCCCAGTCCCCGGTCCGCAGCCCAGTGCTGGTCTGTGGCCCACCCCCTGCATGCCCTCACCCCCTCAGAGCTGCTTTGCACAAGCGCAGCACTGCTGTCTGCACATGTGCACATGCACTCTTGTCTGTGCAAGAGAGAGTATGTGCTTGTTCACGCATGCTCACAGGCACAGGGGTGCCCCGCCTTCCCCAGCCAGTCCGCGGGGTGAAAAAGGTTGGGGACCCCTGATCTAGAGTATTGTGTCTAGTTCTGGATTCTGTGCTTTAAGGATACAGACCAACTGAAATTGGTCAGAGGTACAATACAGAACCCATGAGTAAAGGTTGAAGGTACAAGATATTTATGTCTTATCAGTAAGATAAGACTGAGGGATGTGGGAAAACGTAATAGCATTCTTCAAATAACATCTGTTTACATAGAAAGATCTTGCAATACATAGATCTAATGATCTAGAATTGCAAGGTAATATATTTTGGTTGAAAATTAAAAGAAATTTCTTGTCAATAAAAACAGTTTTTAACCAAGAGGGTTGGTGGGCTTACTCCCACTAGATGCCTGGATACTCAAGTTGTTGATGGTGTAGCTTTGAATTTTCTGACAAACAGCAGTTTGGACTAGAAGACTAAACAGACCAAGTCTTTCTCCAGTTTTCTGATGAGTTGATTATATGCTTGAAGTGAGCTGTCTGCTCTGGCAGAATTTGCCTAGAATTACTTTTCACCTAAAATTACTTTTATCAAGTGTGCTTTTTCTTCAACCTTTCCTCCAGGCAGATCATTTGTCCAGGCGAGGCAAGCCTCTACCTCACCAGGAATCACTAGACATTGAACTAGAGGAGGAGAAGCCTACCAAGCGATCTATCATCACAGTTGAAGAGCTGACTGAAATTGAACGTTTAGAAGATCTAGATACATGCATGGTAAGACACCTTTAGTTGTTTCTTAGATCTCATTATTCAACAGACTCTCCAGTTCACTCCTGCCTTCATTATTAGTAGGACCTGGCAGAACAAAGTTCCAAATAGAGGAGTCCTAGAACAAGCTGGAATTTTTAGCATGTATACATTACTGAAACAGCGACATCTACATTGGCTTGGGCATGTCGTGAGAATGGCTGATGGTCAGATTCCGAACGATCTCCTGTATGGAAAATTAGTGCAGGGAAATCGCCCCAGAGGGAGGCCACAGCTGCAATACAAGGATATCTGCAAGCAGGATCTGAAGGCCTTAGGAATGGACCTCAACAGATGGGAAACCTTGACATCTGAGCGTTCAGCCTGGAGGCAGGTGGCGCATCATGGCCTCTCCCATTTTGAAGAGACCTTTGTCCAGCAGGCCGAGGCAAAGAGGCAGTCCCGAAACCAGCAAAATCAGGGAGCTGGACAGGGGACAGATTGTATTTGTCTTCAGTGTGGAAAGGATTGTCACTCTCAAATTGGTCTTCTCAGCCACACTAGACTAGACAAACAGACCTGAAACAGTAAATATGGTATGCATAACATGTGGCAAAAAAGGGTATTGCAGATAAATGGAAGGATAGCACTTTTGCTTTTCTCTTTTAAGTCTTTTAGTTATCTGTTTATAATAGCTTACATTTCATACTTAGCTTGCTTTGTCTTATAGATAGGATTGTTGGAATAAAGGACATGATTGCCTCAATAGATTATTAGGCTGCAGAGGCAAGCTACTGCTTCTTAGAACAGAGAACTTTTTGCCTGGCTCGTTTGTCACCAAACCTCTTGCTCATACTTTTGTTTCTGATAATAAATTAGTTTTAACTGAGGACATATGGGAATTACTGGCATGAAATTTATAAGGCTTTAGCTTCAGACTTCTCTTTCAAATGTTTACATAGAAAGCAGCTGGTTCTGGTTTTTTCCTGGTTCTGTGTTTTTTGCTGATGCCTTTGAATTAATAACAAACTTTTGAGTCTTTCATACTGGATGGATAACTCAAATAAGAGAGGAGAATTTTAAACCTTGCAACTTAAGTGGCTTACATTTCTTAAGACCGATATAATGTATACATTCTTCATTCCATATCTGTTTATTCTCATTGCTTACAATTTGTGATGTGTGTATGTCTACATATGGAAATGCTCATGTGTACACACACCAGCCTGTGCACATACAGTGACAACACAGAGAGAGAGAGATTCTCAGCTGCTGATGCCACATTATGGCTGAAATCCATAGTAAGTTGCAATTGAAGGTACATTGGAATTGACTCATAAAACTCACACTGACCCAGTCTAGTCTAGCATCCTGTCCCCATTGCGGTCAGGCATATATGCCTATGGGAAGCTAAGTAGTGGATGTGAATGCAATGACATCCCCCTGTTTGTGTTCCATAGCAAGTAAAATTCATGGCATACTAAAACCAGATGATAAAACATAGTAATCATGACCAATAGCCATAGATAGCCAGTACCTCCATTTGTTTGTCTAATCCTTCCTTAAAATCACCTTTCCACCTTTCAAAGTTGGTGGCCATCATCTATTTCTTCCAGTCACAAATTTTATAGTTTAATTATGCACTGTGTAAAGAAACTACTTTTTGTCTATCCTGAATCTCCTACTAGTCAGCTTCACTAGTTGTACTTGGATTGCAGTATTATGAGAGAATCTTGGGTCATCCACTGAAACTGATGGGAATTTTGAAATGCATGGAAGGTAACACTATAATAAATTGGATATCTGATCTAACTATTTCTCATTTGTTGTATATGCTGCACACTGTATCACTTCCCAGCCTTTGAGGAAATGATGATGCGCATGTGTGTACTGGAGCCTCATCATTCATACAGAACAGAACTGTGTCAAAATACTCAAACAGCTTATTTGGCATAAATTCTGCATGCTACACTATTGAAAGTACTTGTTATTTAATTAAGAGTCACCCTGAATCCTTTTATTGAATGAAAGATCAGGTATTTTAAAAATGAATGTATGAATGAATGAAGTACAGTGGTGCCTCGCATAGCAATCGCTCCGTTTTACAGTGAAATTGCTTTACGATGCTGTTTTTGCGATCGCAAAAGTGATCGCTTTGCGATGGCCCCTATGGGGAAAATTTGCTTTGCAATGATCACAGGGAAGCGATCGTCGCAAAGCCCCCATTTTCGGCCAGCTGATTGGTGGTTCCAAAATGGCAACCCACTAGCTTTAGAGGTACCGAAAATGGCCGCCACAATGGAGGATTTTCGCTTAAGGTTAGTTTTTAAGCCCATAGGAACGCATTAAAGGCGTTTTAATGCATTTCTATGGGCTTTTTAAATCCGTTTAGCGATGAAATTGCTTAGCAACGTTTTTTCCTGCACGGATTAACGTCACTAAGTAAGGCACCACTGTACTTATTTCAGGCAGTTCTGTAAATAAGCAGCATAGCAGACTAGCACTATTTTAATTTGTGACTAGTTTTATAAACATCCTAAGAAATTATGTCTTAGCAATTAAATTGTGCTCTCCCCAGCTGGTAATAATAAGCTTGCTTACTTGCATGTGCCCCATGACTTGTATGACAAAATTCATGCCTGTTTGCTGGGTGTTTCAGGTCAGATTTAAATTACTGTAGTTCTATAGTCATTTCTGGTTTATTTTTAAGTGTAGACCTGATACTCTTCTTAATGTCTTTTATGAATCATTTAGTCTCTGTTGGATTTCTTAGACTAATTCAGTTTGCCTACAGATTTCCTGCTGTGCACTTTAAAAACAGATAATTCTCTGTTCTTCCTGAGTGTTTCATGGTACATTTACTTTGGCTTCAACTTAAAATCATAGCCTGTCTGAAGAGGAAAGAGGTATATGTGTGTGTTTATTTTCTACATAGATGTGTCTTTCCAAACAGTATAAACTAGAACCAGTCTCAAAATATAAAATTTCTGTCTGTAAAAAGTCATATGAAGAAAAATGACCTTTATTGACAGCAGCAGTTAGAATGGCACCTTTAGTCCTTTTTAAGGAGAAAGGCAGGGTAAAATATTTTAAATAATTGTTACTGTTTACCTTGTTCCATATTTTTATAATGCTGAGTAAGTTCTTTTTGTTATGAACAGTTACTTGCAACTTAAACAGATCTCAGAAGTAACCCATTATAAGTAATTCAATTACTCACAAAGAGTTACTTTTCCAAGACTATGAGAGGGCTTGTCTGTTTTCCTTCCATGAAGGGGCAAAGCAGCATTCCTTATAGGTATAAAATGAGTCAGTGTTTTTTATATTTAAATCATCTGGTGACAAAGACAAGTGTTAACTAACATTTAGCTTAAATATAGGAGAGAGCACAAAGGTTTTTTCCCCTTTCTTTCTTTCTTTCTTTCTTTCTTTCTTTCTTTCTTTCTTTCTTTCTTTCTTTGCATACTAACAAGGATCCACACTGCTTAGGGCAGCATAAAACCATGATTCTGCTTGCCAGGTTGATCTAGATGCGAACAACGTTGCACGCTAGGCACTGCAGGAAGTGCCACTGGTTTCCAGTGACATTTTCTAGAGCAGCTAGAGCAGTGATGACAAACCTATGGCTTGCGTGCCACATCTGGCACACGAGTGAGCGGCTCACCCACCCAACCTTTTAGGGCAGCATAAAACCATGATTCTGCTTGCCAGGTTGATCTAGATGCGAACAACGTTGCACGCTAGGCACTGCAGGAAGTGCCACTGGTTTCCAGTGACATTTTCTAGAGCAGCTAGAGCAGTGATGACAAACCTATGGCTTGCGTGCCACATCTGGCACACGAGTGAGCGGCTCACCCACCCAACCTTTTGGAAACAAAGCCAGTGACACTTTCTAGAGCGGCTAGAGCAGTGATGGCAAACCTATGGCATGCGTACCACATCTGGCACGCGAGTGAGCGGCTCACCCACCCAACCTTTTGGAAACAAACCTTTTGAAGTGGCTGCAGCTGGGATTCCCCCTTTCTCTTCTTGTTCTGGGTCCTTTAACTTCCTGCCCGTCCCCATGATTCCCCCTTTAACTTCCTGTCCGTCCCCATGATTCCCCCTGAGACTGCCACTTCTTGTTCCAGTTCTGGTCTTCCGGGTGGCATGGCAGCCACTGGTATCTTCTCCACCCCCTCATTTTGGGCACTCGAGCTGAAAAAGGTTTGCCTCCACTGGGCTAGAGTGTCATATCCAGGTATGAACTAGTCTAGTTCATTGAGCACCTACAACAGTGGTGATTGTGGGTAATGAAAATAGCAGAAAACAACTGTAGATAACTGAAATCATGGTTACAGGGGACTGCTGTATTTAAGGATGTTCCACCTTCCTTGAAGCTTCAAGATATGCAAAACCTATAGCCATATGAGCCTGCCTGGGCCTTCATATATCGGCCTACTGTATGTGTCTACCAGGCTTACTGGTTTCAGAGATAGGGCCTTTTTTATGGTGGCTCTAGGAGGCATATGACACTCTCCCTCTCATAGGTATGTTTATCCAGTTCCATCTAATCCACTAGATTTTCAACTGACTCTAAAGGCATTATTGTTTCCGCATTCCTTATGCATTTATATGTGGTGTATGTGGTTTTAACTGCTGCCTTGGTAGGGCAGGTATCATTTATACTTTTATGGTATTTTAATTGTGTGGCCTGTCATGAGAGGCTAAAAGTTCATTTAATAATAAATAAATACAGTGAATCATGTTTTGCCAGTTTCAGGCTCTCATATCAGCACTGGTAATATTGGTTGGACACATTTAGCTTTCTCAACAGAGCATAGAAATGGATCTTCAGTTGATTTTATTTCAAGTCTACATGTCAGGAAAATGTAGAAAGCAAAATTAAAGGAAAAAACGTTGCTTTATCTTAGATTTTTTTAAAAAGCAGGACTGTGTACAGTGAACCAGAAGCCATTTTATGCATACAGCATTTCATGAAACAATGTTTAGAATAAAGTGTCTTTAACAGCCAGGAAAAAAATATAGAACCAGTTTAAAAGCCTTCTATAAATTCACTGCTTTTAATGTAAAAGGAATTCACTAACCTCCATCCCTACCTACTCTTCTTAGGTCATCCATCTCTTAGATGGTGCCTTAAAACGAATATTCCAGTGTACAAACTCAGTGCAAAATGAGATTTTGTGAAAATGCAAGTACCCATGCACTACTCACAAGTTATGGAAATTATGTTCAGCTGTGGACTTTCCTGGGAGTACCTTTTTCCCTGGATTCTTTCGGGATAAGGTGCATAGGTTAGCCTGCTTATTTTATGTTTGTTTGTTACTAGCATTTGAAGTTTGAACAGATTAATCTTATACTGAGCATTTATCTCAGATATTGAAAACTGGATATGAGACATCAAAATGTGATATAGCACTGAACTATCGTGCAAGTCAAGATTCCCAAGAAATTATTTAATGCCTAAAGATTCTCCAGTAGAAATCTGCATACTCCCATGCCACTTTTGATCATCAGTAGACTTCTGTGTGTAACTGTACAGAGAATTGCAGCCCTGGGACTGAAATGAAAGGACTGTGGGTTTTTTCTGTTTCATATCTGTATGCTTCTTATGTAAAGCTGTTGATATTTTTTCCTTAATATGAAAGGGTGATATTTCTTTTTTGCTTATCTTTGCTTCAGTACTTTTGCTTCAGTACTATATTTCTTTTTCTTTCTTTCTTTCTTTCTTTCTTTCTTTCTTTCTTTCTTTCTTTCTTTCTTTCTTTCTTTCTTTCTTTCTTTCTTTCTTTCTTTCTTTCTTTCTTTCATTCTTTCTTTTTTTCTTTCTTTCTTTCTTGTGGTTTTTTTTTTTGCCAAATTTTAGTGCTACTTGCTCCTTCTGCCCTCTCTCAAAACTGCTCCTGCTTTATCTTCTGCCCATTCATATTCTTTTATCTTTCTCTTTTGGCTGCATGGAGACTCTCTGCTGTACAAGTGTAAGTATTTTTTTAAGCTTTGCTGTTTCTTGCCTGCTTTGTTTTTTGTTTAGTTTTTGTTTTTGCTCCATTTCCCATACTAATCTCTTGAGAGAATATAGTAGCATCAGCATACAGTTACTGAAATAGGCATAATCTGGGAGCAGAATTTGGCTTCTACAGGAAGTTGTCGTTAGTATAACGTGTGGTGAATTTAAAACACCCGTCAGAAGACATGAATATAAACCCAAGCAGAATGGCCACCATTAGTTAATGTCTAAGAAAATATTTTAATTTAGTTTTGCATTAACAATAAGGTTGCTTTATTGAAATGAAAGCTTTAAAGGAGGATAAGGTATTATTTTCCTATCACTGGCATGTAGGAGGACATACTTCCTGTTGTACTGAATTATCTCTACTTGGCAAATGCCAATCAAACATGCTATATTTGTACCTTGCTATGGAGAGAGAGAGAAGAGAAAAAGAGACTGAATCTGATTTGAATGAAAATGCGTTCAGCAAGTTTATGTGGCTGGAACAGCAGAAAACAGGGAAACCATTGTATTTAATCTCTTATGGAGTAATTTCAGCTTGAATTATGCTGAGAAGTAGCATGCGGTAGTGCTCTTGAAACCAAGATTGTGTCTCTCTGTATTTTAAAGTGTAATTTTTACTTCCTGGTATAATAGGATATAACAGAGAATTTCGTAGTTTTCCCATTAATCTGTGGAAGAATCAGTCAGTGAGATTTCTTGCCAGTTTTGCTAAGGTGATCATTTCCACTGGAAACTGTTTCCATTAGTGTTCTTGATAATTTTTTAGTCCACCTTTGATTTGAAATATAAGTATTGCGGAACACATGAATTTTTTGGGGAGTAGGTTGTAACATGATTTCAGTGTTAAAAAATAGAGAGAAGATGCAATCGAATATTTGGAATCCCTCATCATATGCAGAATCACTTCATTTTTAGAGATACATTGTAACCTGCTACTTGGAAGGAATTGCTGCCCCTCCCTTGGACAAGGGATTGACAGATCAATTGCTCTCCAGACTGCCACTTTTCATAAGTATTTGTCATTAGCACATTCCGTCCCATTCCCTATTTGTGATTTTAAGTGTACAAAAATTCACATTACAGTGGTCCCTCACAAGACAAAAGTAATCCGTTCTGTGGTTAATACCGTCTAGCGAACATTTTGTCTTGCGAAGCGCGTTTTCCCATAGGAAAGCAAAGCAAAAAGCAAAGCATGCTGCTTATATACTGCCCCATAGTGCTTCAAGCCCTCTCTGGGTGGTTTGCAAGTTAATTATGCAGGCGACACATTGCCCCCCCCCCAGCAAGCTGGGTACACATTTTACTGACTTCGGAAGGATAGAAGGCTGAGTCAACCTTGAGCCAGCTACCTAGGATTGAACCCCAGGTCGTGAGCACAGCTTTGGCTGCAGTGCAGCAGTTTAATCGCTGCACCATGAGGCTCTATTGGGGGGGGGGGTTAGAAACAAAAAAAAAAGTCAGCAAAAACTCACTTACCAGGACTGAGCCGTGCTCCTCACAGTGCCTTTGTAGCCCCGGAACAGCTGGAAAAAGCGCTAAACAGCTGAGAGTCAGCAACCAGCAAGGAGGCGACAGCCATTTTGTTGTCGTCTCTGCTCCTGCTCGCCTCTCAGCTGATCGGCGCTGGGTCTAAGAGGCTTCCCTAGGCTTGCCTAGCATGGAAAAAGGCAGGGGAAAAAGTGGGAAATTCAAAAATGGTGCTTTCCCCCTGCCTTTTTATGTGCTGGGCAAGCCCTGGGAGACTTCTATAAGTGGCACTTTGCCACGCCATGCCACGCCCCCCCCCC